ACTCCGTCTCAAAAAAAAAGAAAAAGAAAATGTAATGGCTGACACAGTAATGCGGCTGGATATTCAGGAAGGCAAGTTGCAAGGTATTCATCAATGACAAGTCATTTTAGATGAAAGCGAAGTGAAGCCCGGAGCTGCCTCCCCCTAGTGTTCAGTTAGGGTTCAGCAGCTGAGAAACACAAGCTGGGTGGACGGCTTAGTAATTCCCTCTCTTGGTATTGTATTTATACTGATGTCCGTACAGGCCTTTTTGGATAATGCCAACATAGTGGAAAAGGATATTCTGTCCGGTAATGTACCGTCAGTTATGACCATTTCACTCCATCAATTGAGAGTACATATCTCAGATAGTTAGTGTAGCCCTTTATCTGAAATAAAGGTGCTATTTCCCAAGTGATATTTAATGGCACCAGCCTGGACAACACAGTGAGATCCCATCTCTACAGAACTTTTATAAAAAATTAGCCAGGTGTGGTAGTGCAGACCTGTAGTCCCAGCTACCCAGGAGACTGAGGTGGGAGGATCACTTGAGCCTGGGAGGTAAAGGTCGCAGTCAGCCGTGACAGCACCCCTACACTCCAGGCTAGGCCACAGAGCGAGACCCTGTCAGAAACAAAAAAAAAAAAAAAAGAAGAAGAAGGAGGAAAGAGAGAGAGAAAGATAAATCAATACATTTAATGAGATAGGTACTATAAATGAGGGAGAAATAAAAAATAAAGCAAAAGTAACTCATAGTCTCATCGTGAGTGGGTAAATACCATGCAGACGCTCTGTCTTCCTTCGTACTGAATGGGCATGATGTAGTTTAGAATAGAGAGCTGGTCTGTGGTGTCCTCCAGAACTGCCGAGATCCTCAGCACATCTGGAAGCGAGAGTGGCTCTCGGGTTTCTAGGATTTCTGGGATGGTTTCTACGTCTGTTTCTTTAGGTAGTCCGTCTTCTTCTACGGTACTAGGTGGTTTGCCTGTCACTGACACTGTCATCTCAGAATGCCAAACTTTTGGAGGAAGGTTTGAGTCTTCCAGGCTGTCTCTAAGGAAAGAATAAAGAAAAAATAAGTCAGCGACCAATATTTAAACATTACTTTAACTCAAAAGTACAGGCAGCAATGTGCTGGGCTCCTGTGATATTCTTGTTGTCATATAATATAACCTAGATTAAAAAAAAAAAAAGTAGGAGTTGGAGTGTGATTCTGCTAAATAGCTTCCATTTTGACCAACCAAAGGCAAACAACTTACTTTTTTTTTTTTTTTCCTTTTTTTGAGACGGAGTTTCGCTCTTGTTGCCCAGGCTGGAGTGCAGTGGCGTGATCTCAGCTCACCGCAACCTCTGCCTCCCAGGTTCAAGCGATTCTTCTGCCTCAGCCTCCTGAGTAGCTGGGACTACAGGCACCCGCCACCACACCCGGCTAACTTTGTGTTTTTAGTAGAGATGGGGCTTTCTCCATGTTGGTCAGGTTGGTCTTGAACTCCCAGCCTCAGGTGATCCACCCAGCTCAGCCTCCCCAAATGCTGGGATTACAGGTGTGAGCCACCACACCTGACCTACTGTTTAATAAAGCTATGTAGCTCATGCAATTTGGCTATGCTGATCAATTTGAATTTGAGCCAAAATTAACTTTTTTTCCCTAGGAGTATCTTTAGATGCTAACCAAAAGTGTCTCCTGATGAGTGAAAAACAGAATGTGGTATCCAGCCTCCAAGGTGGCCCAAATGATTCTCACTTTCTAGTATTAATGCTTCTGTGTAGTCTACGCCACACTGAGTAGGACTAACCTATGTAACCAGAAGGTTATTGTGGCAATGATGGAGTGGGACTTCCACGGCTAAGTGATAAAAGACATTGCAGCTTCTGCCTTCCTCTCTCAAATCTCTCAGTGTGAGGGATGACAGCTGCTTCGGCATGAGGACACTTCAGCAGCACTGTGGACACACCCATGAGGGTAAGGAACAAAGGCCTCTTGCCGGCAGCCTGCACCAACTTGCCAGCTCTGTCAATGAACCACCTTGGCAGTGGATACTCCAGACCCCATCAGGTCTTCAGATCATTGCCATCATTGCCACCCGTGGCCAACTTCAAGTGCAGGAGAGACCCCAAGCCAGCACCATCCAGCTAACCTGCTCCTAACCTTGGGACCTGCAGAAACTGTGGGAAAGAATAAATGTTTGTATTTTAAGTCACTAAGTTCTGGGGTGATCTGTCACACAGCAGTAGATAAGGTATACACAGACCTTTCACAGAAGGCATAATTTAAATACATGTATACAAAAAACATAGGAATTGTAAACATACTCTTCCATTCTCCCGTAGTTCCGTTACCCTCCGTGGAATATTTATAATCTCACAGAAGTGCAGCTACCTAAAATGGGAAGGAAACACTGAGATTAGTTTATGGGAGTCTTCAATGATGTTTCAGTTATTTCTTTTTTTTTTTTTTTTTGAGACGGAGTCTCGCTCTGTCACCCAGGCTGGAGTGCAGTGGCCGCATCTCAGCTCACTGCAAGCTCCGCCTCCCAGGTTCACGCCATTCTCCTGCCTCAGCCTCCCAAGTAGCTGGGACTACAGGCGCCGCCACCACGCCCGGCTAATTTTTTGTATTTTTAGTAGAGACGGGGTTTCACCGTGTTCGCCAGGATGGTCTCGATCTCCTGACCTCGTGATCCGCCCGTCTCAGCCTCCCAAAGTGCTGGGATTACAGGCTTGAGCCACCGCGCCCGGCGTTTCAGTTATTTCGATACCATTTTATTCAGAGAAAATTAAATGATTACGGGAGTTGTGACTGTCGCCTCTTTGTGCAGAGTGGAGCAGTCTCAGAGGCGAAAGAAACACCGACATTATGGACCGCAGGTCTATGAAGTCGACCGAATTCTTACTGCTCTACCAAACTCAAGACACACGCACTCTGTGGGCCTCTTCTTACAGTAAATTAATGTTCAACCTGGTTTTAGAGTGTTCCATGGTATCACGATTTTAATTGGTAATCTCTATATACTTGATTTTTTCTATCATTCTAATT